CGGAACTAAATTATCAGTTCAAAGTAATTTAGAAAGAATTTTAAAAAACTTTTGAATATTTTATTCAGTCCATATTGCAATCGTATACAGCGCCATTTAAAACAGGTGATCACGTGCATCCAAACTATTTCCTGCATAAAGAACATCTGTAAATATGGAAAGAGTACTAGTAGGTAGTACGAAGCATGAAATGATTTGAACGAAGAACAAATTGTTTTGGAAAGAGCGTTTGAAAATGCTAGCTAGCTTATCCGACGACTTCTTTGTCTTCCACTGCCTATTTCTGTTTCGTCGCTTCCCGCTGATACGCTGATGGAAGGCTGAGTGACGGAAAGATCAGGGGAAATTGATATATTGATGGCGGAGGGCTGCAATGGTCTGCCGGTAGCTGCAGAGCTCAGACGTTTCCTCTTAATATTTTCGTTTATGTCCATCACCGCTAAAAATGCAATTGACAAGCTTATAATGAGCGCTAAAAGACTGCATGCCAGAAGGGTGGTTTGCATGGCCAGGGCTTCGAAACGCATCTGAAACGCGATGAAATAAACCTGCTTGCGTCATCCAGGATTCACAATATCAGTACTCACGTATTGGTAAGCGGCAGGGTCCCGGAGCTGACTACCTATCTCAGCCTCATCTGTCTTACAGCTGGCTGCGACATAGTTCATCCAAGCGTTGCAAGCATCAACGGTGCCTTCGCGAGGATACTTGCCTTGAAACTCGCATTGCACACCGATTATACCGTTGACCAATCCCGCGAACGCAATCAGAATCGAGAAGAATGCAAAGAGACCAAGTAGGCCAGCGAGGGCCCCTTCGAAATGTGCAGCCAGCAGTGGAACAATCGCAAACAGGACGAGAATCGGACCGATGTACAGTGCCAGATTAACGTGCAGGTAATGATGGCAGTTGACATACACGAAGACTCCGCTAGCGGTTATGATTAGTCCAAGTGCCAACTGCATCAGGCCCATGACCATTAGCGGCTGGCGGAAGCGTACGTCAGACATTTCTTGCTCTCCCGTTATGCCGATCAGCTGTTCTTAATCTATCAAAACACTACCGTTAAGCAGTGACTATAAAACTGGCAAGCCTCTTCATCCTTAGGTTTAAATATTACAGTTTACTTTCATCTGAGATCCACTGCACAATGTTGCAACACATGACGGGGACTTGTTTACACTCTGTGAAAGTCTAACTTTACAACTAATCGTTGGGTTCTAAAATTTAAACAAAAATTTGATTCCATAATTCATAGAGGAACGGTCTGATCATAGAGCAGTCTCTTCGAACCGAGAGATATAAAGCAAAGGCTAAACCGACTATTCCTGCTAATTGAACGGTCTTCAGCTGCCAGGTTGATTGCTAACATCCGATCACAACAGTTCTTCTCTTTTTCTCCTATTATAAGGTTTCTTTGCCAGTATGGTCGATGATAACCAGAAATCCAGAAATATAATCCATCTTTCCTCATAGTCGGGGACTAAAAGGTCTGCTATGGTCCCGAAAGGTGATAGCCGCTAACCATCGATGATCAGTGAAACGATCAACAGACAGAGTCCATCGCATTTTATCCTCACTGCTATCCAATGTGACATTTTTCACTTCGGTTTGCTGCTTGATTATTGCACAGGAAACGATGTGCGAGCGTCGACTGAGCAAGATTCTCAGCAGTTTTTTTTCCATGGCTCTCCAGTAACATGGAACCGATGTTCTCCATTCTCCATTACCATTTTACGCCGTACAGCATCGCCCCGGCAACATAACTGCTTTGACAAGATAGAACTGGTGTCACTCTCCTGGTCTTCACAAGTAGGAACTTCTAGATAAAGTTGAACACGGCAGATTTCAGCATTTGGGTCGCGTTGCACATCCACTGTCTTGCACAAGCAAATTAACTTTCTATTACTTTTAAAACTCCCTTGATCATTGCTAGGGACTTCTGTAATAGACCTGGTTCACAAATTGATTTAAAATTGGCTGATGCGAATGATCTTGAATTAACTACCTTTGGTGCAATGAATGAATGCAACACATGGAGCCTAAGCGTGAAATCTGTTCAGAATCTATAAACAACACTAATGCAACTTAGCCAACACAAATGTGCGTATCAGAGACAGCAGTAAAAAGAGCAGAGAGAAACTATAGGAAAAGAGAATAAATAGAAATCTGTGATGCAATTGCGATATGTATAAGTTACGACGGTCATATGCTGGCAAAACGAACTACTAGAGGATCGAAATTTTCGCACCATTTGCTTCTAATAATATTTTACCATTTTATTCGCTACAGTTGACCAACAATATTGTCAGTAGTTACTTTAATCGGTTTCATAGTTCCGCATTAACGCCACACGTATAATAGGTGATGTTATCAAATTTGCATAGCAGTTGAAATATGTACAAGAAATCGCTCACACAATCAATGTTTATTTCAACTCAAAACTTTTCCAAGAGTTGATTACGCTCCTTCACAGGCTTTATTAGTATTCTTGCCAGACAATAGGTTGTCGATGCTAATGAAATGCTGCTCAAACGCATATGCATGCATGTGTAGATCGTGCACTTGACGTTTCGGATAGACACTAGGAAATAACGGTATGTTAAAGAAGGAATTTGTGGCTAAGAGTTGCATTAGCCAGACAGGCTGATGATACCATGACAGCATTCACCGAAAACATGATCAGTAGTTGAAGTTGAGCGCTGCTCCTAAAGGACTGGAACTTAAGGGATCTTTGGTGATTAATGAAATTTTTCAGTTTGAGACTGGAAAGATACCGATGCATCGTGAGATATTGAAGGCATGATAAAAGTTTTCACGAGAAAACTCACCAATAATTTTCATGTCGTGTCTTACAGCCTTTCTTCAGGAGAGAACGGTTTAATTTCGGTAGTTCGTTTTGTTGGTCGTAGATGTTTTAACGCTCAGAGCCAAAATGTTTTCAGAGAACAAAACCAACTTTTACTAAAGATTATATCTTAGAGAATTGCTGTAAAACTCTCCACTGCAAATAACGAGCCCGTAATGACTAATAAGCAGGTGAGGAATGAGAATGAAATGCAGTTCCCCTACTATCCCTGGACTTTCTGCATCAAAGAAAACTTTTGAAGCAGCAAGTGTCCATATGGTTGTCTATTATTTACAGATTTAATTGCGCTGAAGAAAGATTGCCCAACTTGAAAGGCGGGGCGGAAGTTAACAAGCAGTTTGATAAAACATTCAGCTAGTCTATCAGGTAGCATGTGAGGTAGAACTGCATGACTACAGTAATATTCAAAATCTTCGAACCAGTGAAACTCGAGCAAACCAGTTCAAAAAAATTCAACTGAAGTATAAATTGAAATTTTTTGGCTGTTCAGGATATTAAATTAAGGAATACAGCGAAAATGTTTAACTGACTGTCCATACATTGACATTGAATACCATCATTAACTTTGCAAAGAGCGATGAAAAGCTTCAATTTGCGCTTAAGTCTACGACCAGAGTCATTTGAACATATTTGATCTTCAGAAAAACGCAGTGATTCCATCTGTTGCTGTGGAAGAGCGAAACAGACCTACATGAAGATAAGTAATTGAAATCATGCCTGTGCGATTATTTCGGCTTGGCTGCAGCCGTACAGCATTCAAAACTTCCGTGTTTTTTTGATTCGGTATTATGACAGCGTTGATTCCTGTGATTTATTTGTAAATAATATCTAGCTTTGCGTCACTTCTTTTTTTCCGTGAAGAATGTCCAAAGAAGTGCATACTTCATAAAGTTTTTTTGACCGATTTGTATTTCGCTGTTTTTGATTGGACTATAATAACATCTGCTTTCGAGTATCACCCTTCTATGCAGGAAAGGAGTAAAACAAAACTATAATAACGGGCAGATATAAATCTATCCTGCGGATCAATAACAAGCTATAATATACCGCATTTTTCGGACCATAAGGCGCACTTAAAATCCTTCTATTTGCAAAAAAAATCGCCATTGCGCCCTATAGTTCGGTGCGTCTTATATATGAATTTTGGCCTGAATCCTTCATACAAAAGATGCTCCTTCTGCTTCTGCGATGTCGTTCTC